ATAGGCAACCGCAACCGTGCATGTCATGTAGTAAAGTCAGCATTAGCACCAGGGCTAAGTGCCCCCCACCATCACTCACTGGCTCCCAGTTCCATCAGCATCAGTAGTTATTCCACAGACGACAGAGCAGTTAGTCACATCTCACTTACGACTTCCCTGATTTGCTGGCCGGCGGTGGCGCCCGGCGGCACCGTCATCTGAATCTGCTGCCCGTCCGGAAGCTGCGCCACGAAGGCGTCGCCGGCGGAGAGCCCCGCCGGAACGGCGGCCTGCATCTCCGTCGACCGTGCGTTTTGATTGTGGGCGTCGCGCTGTTGACCAGATTTGGGGGGGATGAGCTGGCCTGGGTTCCAACTTTTTGCGGGGTATGGTATGGTAAGTCGCGGCCCAAAGGGTGGGGGGGTATGGTCCTGACCGCCCATCCCCGGTCTCCGGGAGGCTGGGTCTGTCAGCAGGCGGGGGGGTATGGTCTCGAGGTGGGTTGCGCGAGGGTACCATACCATACCCCGCAAAAAGTCCGAACCCTGGGGCCCTGGCCGGGCGCGGCGGGCAAAATCAAAAAAAATTTTTTTATCAGACTTGGGCGACGGCTAGCGCATCACACCCCTCTCCTTAAAATCCCTGTGTGGTGGCGGCGTGCCGTCCTCCCATCCCTCCCTTGGGTTGCGTGTTTTCTTTCTTTCTTTGGCGCGCCAGTGCGCAGTGACCAGTGTCGTGCAAAAAAGAACTGCCATTTTGGAGAACTCTTAAAACGTTCATAAAACTCACTGGAAACCACAGACCGCGATACAGCATAGGACCCGCCCAATTACAACCCCTGGAGACGCCTCCCCGCGCGCCCACGCAGGGCGCGGGGTGGAACCACGAATAACAAACAGGCGGGGAGTGGGGGGAGACGGACGATCCACAGAACGAGGACAGACGAGAACGGTACGTCACTCCAGCGGCCCCTCCCGTAGGGGCGGGGGGCGGCGAAAGCTGCCGTGGCCCTCCCTTCTACAGGGATGTGGGGGTGTGC